ATTTCTTCATCTTCCTTGTAGTTATTTCCCTCATGTGCCCCATATAACAACTCTGTCCTGTTTAAATGAAAATATCTTACAAGCAATTTCTGAGAACTTGCCTGAAAAGAAGTCTGATGTTCTCTTCCTCCTGTTTTCCATTGTTCCCTCAATCCTGTGCTTAAAACATGGATCCTACTCTGAACAATGAGGTTGAAGGTCACATCCAATGGATATGAGAATGGTGATGTGGTCTGAACTTGGTATGACTTAAAGCAGATCCACACTAAGCCACCAAAACCCTGAACTAATGTCTCTGCATATTTACATGATAAACAAATAAGCTTCAAACCTGTTATTTTAATGTTTTCTTGTATTTGCACTCAAATCTAATCTGTACTAATGCACTACAGTTATGTAAAGTTAGACTAAGAATCGTATGGATATAGCTCAGAGGCTTATTTTGAGAATTACATGAGAAGATACATCCAAGTTCAAAGCCTGGATAATAAGAATTAAATATTTGTCATTATTGTTAAGACAGGATTTCTTGCTTGTAGAAGACAATTTTCTTGTCAGGCTTTGCCTAGGAATTATGATATTTGAGGCATTTCTTCAGACTAAAACATCATAGGAAAGGATACAAATGGTCTTATAGAATTGCTGTGGTTCTCACAGCCAAAGCCATTTCTTTTTCCACACTAAGACATAATTTTGTATAAAGAATACAAGTTTAGGACCAAGAAATCGACTATCTTTTTTTTCTTTCTAATTCATCTTTTCTAGTACTTATTTTCAGTCATTAAGTGTTTAATCAATTGAAATATTACTGCAGGAGGCCTTCAGCTTTTAAGAATATTGTCTACTTTATATTTAAATAAGCTACATATAATGGTCACTTCTTAATATATTAAACCCATCCATAAATTATATCCAAATCATAAGGTGAATCATGACTGGGAATGGTTGTGACTATGTATATATTGATTCTTTTGCCTTTTCATAAATAATTTGAAATATAATTTTTCTCTGTACTCACCACAGCAAAATACAAGTAAAAAAATAAGCAGTGCTGCATTAAGAGAGAGAGAAATGCTGAGAAGTGCACAAGCCAGAGAAAGGATATTTGAAGAGAGAAAAATTGAAAGGATAGGATTTAGATTGAGAAAGGCAAGGGGTGGATGTTCTGGGTGAGAAAATCAGTCAAAGAGGAAGCCAGCTCAGCTTAAGCTCAGTTCCTTCCCACACAACATAAATGAAGGTGTCGAAATAGTACACTGGGATTAAAACACAAAGATCCTCAAATCTGCAGAAAAATGAGCAAAATGGCGGTTTAATGTGTGGCAGTGAGCAAGACAGACTAGTAGAAGAGATGAAGAGAATGATGTATGAAATATTTTTTTCTGAAAAACAGCTGTACTAAGATACTATTTACATCTGGAACAAATTTAATAGCTTTAATATATTTACACATTCTGCAACCATCATCACAATCTATTCCTTGTAAGATATTTTATTTGTTTGAAAGGCAGAGTTAGAGAGAGAGAGAAAGGGAGAGATAGAGCGTTCTTCCATTTACTGGTTCACTCCCTAGCTGGCTGCAATGGCCAACCCAGGTCAAAGCCAGGAGCCAGGAGCTTCTTCTAGGTCTCCCATGCAGGTACAGGGGCTCAAGCACTTTGGCCATCTTCCACTGCTTTCCAAGGCACATTAGCAGGGAAATGGATTGGAAATGGAATAGCCAGGACTTAAACCACAACTCATACAGGATCCCAGCATTGCAGGTGGCAGCTTAACCAGTTATACCACAGCACCAGCACCACAATCTAAAAGTAACTCTATACCCATGAACAGTCAATTCTACTCCTTCCCATACTCACAGCCCTTGGAAACCACTGATCTATTTAAGGTCTTACAGATTTGCATATTATGGACATTTCATCTAAATGGAATGAGATAACATGCAATCTGACATTTTTTACTTAACATAATAATTTAAGGGGTCACCCATGGTCTAACATGTATCAATGCTTAACTTCTTTTTATTTCCTTATAGTACTACATAATATAGATAGCTCTTATTTTGTTTATCAGTTCACCAATTGGTGGACATTTAGGTGGCTTCCACTTTTGGACAATTATAAATATAAATAAATATACTATAACACTTCTGTGAAAATTTTGGATTGGATACATGTATCTATTTCTCTTAGGAATTTGCATAAGATATTGTTGGGGCAGATGAGAAGTTTGCCATTTTGAGGAATTTTCAAGCTGTTATTTTTCTTATTTTTTTAACTTTTATTTAATAAATATAAATTTCCAAATTACAACTTTTGGATTATAGTGGCTTTTTCCCCCCATAACCACCTTCCCACTGGAAACCATTCCATCTCCCACTGCCTATCCCATCCAATTCACATCAAGATTCATTTTCAATTATCTTTATATACAGAGGAACAATTTAGTATATACTAAGTAAAGATTTCAACAGTTTGCACCCACACAAAAACAAAAAGTATAAAATACTGTTTGAGTACTAGTTGTAGCATTAATTCACATAGTACAATACATTAGGGACAGAGATCCTACATGGGGAGTAAATGCACAGTGACTCCCGTTGTTGACTTAACAATTGGCACTCTTGTTTGTGATGTCAGTAATAACCCAAGGCTCTTGTCATGAGCTGCCAAGGCTATGCTTCCACAGCCTTCCTCTTGAGTTTGCCAACTCTGATCTTATTTAGACAAGGTCATAGTCAAAGTGGAAGTTCTCTCCTCCCTTCAGAGAAAGGTACCTCCTTCTTTGATGGCCTCTCCTTTCCACTGGGATCTCACAAAGATCTTTCATTTAAGTCATTTTTTTTTTTTTGCCACAGTGTCTTGTCTTTCCATGTCTATAATCCTCTCATGGGCTCTTCAGCCAGATCCGAATGCCTTAAGGGGCTGATTCTGAGGCCAGAGTGCTGTTTAGGACATCTGCCATTCTATGAACCTGCTGTGTATCCCGCTTCCCATGTTGGATCGTTCTCTCCTTTTTAATTCTATCAGTTACTATTAGCAGACACTACTCTTGTTTGTGTGATCCCTTTGACAATTAATCCTATCATTATGATCAATCATGAACTGAAACTGATCGCTTTGACTAGTGAGATGGATGGGATTGAATTGGAATCCCCTGGCACGTTTCTAACTGTACCATTAGGGGTAAGTCTGAGTGAGCTGTGCCAAACTGTATATTTCCTCCCTCTCTTATTCCCACTCTTATTTTTAACAGGGATCATTTTTCAATAAACTTTAAGCAGATAATAATAACTGTGTGTTAAAGAAATCAACCAATGCTATTAAGTAGAACAAAAATACTAAAAGGATTAAAGTAGTAAGTTGTTCATCAACAGTCAGGACAAGGACTGATCAAGTCACTGTTTCTCATAGTGTCCATTTCACTTCAACAGGTTTCCTTTTTGGTGCTCGGTTAGTTGTCACCGATCAGGGAGAACATATGATATTTGTCCCTTTGGGACTGGCTTATTTCACTCAGCATGATTTTTTCCAGATTCCTCCATTTTGTTGCAAATGACCGGATTTCTTTTCTTTTTTTTTTTTTTTTTTTACTGCTGTATAGTATTCTATAGAGTACATGTCCCATAATTTCTTTATCCAGTCTACTGTTGATGGGCTTTTTTGTTGTTTCCATGTCTTAGCTATGGTGAATTGAGCTGTAATAAACATTAATGTGCAGACAGCTTGTTTGTTTGCCAATTTCATTTCCTTTGAGTAAATTCCAAGGAGTGGGATGGCTGGGTTGAATGGTAGGGTTATATTCAGGTTTCTGAGGAATCTCCAGACTGACTTCCATAGTGGCTTGACCAGTTTGCATTCCCACCAACAGTGGGTTAGTGTCCCTTTTTCTCCACATCCTCACCAGCATCTGTTGTTGGTAGATTTGTGTATGTGAGCATTTCTAGTTGGGGTGAGGTGAAACCTCATTGTGGTTTTGATTTGCATTTCCTTGATTGCTAGTGATCCGGAACTTTTTTTCATGTGTCTATTAGCCATTTGGATTTCCTCTTTTGAAAAATGTCTATTGAGGTTCTTGGCCCAACTCTCAAGTGGGTTGTTTGTTTTGTTTTTGTGGAGTTTCTTGATCTCTTTGTAGATTCTGGTTATTAATCCTTTATCTATTGCATAGTTTTTAAATATTTTTCCCATTCTGTTGGTTGCCTCTTCACTTTCCTGACTATTTCTTTTGCAGTACAGAAACTTCTCAATTTGATATAAACCCAATTGTTAATTTTGGCTTTGACTGCCTTTGCCTCTGGGGTCTTATCCAAGAAGTCTTTGCCTGTGCCTATATCTTGCAGGATTTCTCTGATGTTCTCTAATAATTTGATGGTTTTGGGTTTTAGACTTGAATCTTTAATCCATGTTGAGTGGATTTTTGTGTAAGGTGTAATGTAGGGGTCTTGCTTCATGCTTCTGGACGTGGAAATCCAGTTTTCTCAGCACCGTATGTTGAATAGACAGACTGTCCTTGCCCTGGAAATTGGTTTTAGATCCTTGATCAAATATATGTTGGCTGTAGATGTTTGGATTGATTTCTGCTATTTCTATTCTGTTCCATTGGTCTATCCATCTGTTTCTGTACCAGTACCATGCTGTTTTGTTTATAACTGCCCTGTAGTATGTCCTGAAATCTGGTATTGTGATGCCTCCGGCTTTGTTTTTGTTGTACAAGATTGCTTTAGCTAGTCGAGGTCTCCTGTGTCTCCATATGAATTTCAGCATCATTTTTTCCAGATCTGAGAATATTGTCTCTGGTATTTTGATTGGTATTGCATTGAATCTATAAATTGTTTTTGGGAGAATGGACATTTTGATGATATTGATTCTTCCAATCCATGAGCATGGAAGATTTTTCCATTTCTTGGTATCCTCTTCTATTTCTTTCCTTAAGATTTTGTAATTCTCATTGTAGAGATCTTTGACATCCTTGGTTAAGTTTATTCCAAGGTATTTGACTGTTTTTGTAGCTATTGTGAATGAGATTGATCTTAGAAGTTCTTTCTCAGCTGTGTCATTGCCTATGTATACAAAGGCTGTTGATTTTTGTGCATTGATTTTATATCCATCTACTTTGCCAAATTGTTCTATGAGTTCCAATAGTCTCTTAGTAGAGTTCTTTGGATCCCCTAAATAAAGAATCATATCATCTGCAAAGAGGGATAGTTTGAGTTCTTCCTTCCCAATTTGTATCCCTTTAATTTCTTTTTCTTGCCTAATAGCTTGGCTAACACTTCCAGTACTATATTTAATAGCAGTGGTGAGAGTGGGCATCCCTGTCTGGTACCAGATCTCAATGGAAATGCTTCCAACTTTTCCCCATTCAATACAATGCTGGCTGTGGGGTTTTCATAAATTGTTTTGATTGTATTGAGGAATGTTCCTTCTATACCCAATTTGCTTAGAGTTTTCATCATGAAAGGGTGTTGTATTTTATCAAATGCTTCCTCTGCGTCTATTGAGATAATAGTATGGTTTTTCTTCTGCAGTTTATTAATGTGGTATATCACATTGATTGATTTGTGAACGTTCTTTCAATTTCTCTTTGCTATGAAAGGTCTTTATTTCTCCTTCATTCACAAATGAGAGCTTTGCAGGATATAATATTCTGGGATGGCATTTTTCTCTCTTAGTACTTGGGCTATATCTTGCCATTCCCTCCTAGCCTGAAGGGTTTCTGATGAGAAGTCTGCTATGAGTCTGACTGGATGTCCAAAACTGTACCTGCTCTATTGTCTTGCACACATTTGTAAGGTGTGTGGAGAAAGAAAATAGTGTCCATACCATCCCTTTTTTTTTTCTCTCCTCTAGTTGGACTGGTGTACTTTTCTCCATGGGGCATCAAGCCTCGTTCCCTCTAGGCTCTTCCTGCCACTTTTCAGCCAGTGTCTCGGGCTACTGCGGTTTCACCTCACCTCTCTTTCCAGCACTGGTTCAGATTCTAGGCAGCTGAGCTCCCAAGTCGTAGGTGACCATGTCCTCCACATAGATCTACCATGTGCCTCTAATTCCAGAAGAGTTCCCTCTGCAGTTTTTTTTCCCTGAAGTCTCTTTCCTGAGACTTCACTATCTTCACTTTTATTAAACTATCTTTTCCTGGACTATCAGTGAGCTCACTCCCTATTCTGCCATCTTGGAGCCACTCTCAAACTGTTATTTTTTAAGGATTTATTTTATTTATTTGAAAGGCAGAGGGTAAAGGAGAAGGAGCAATTTTAAATCCACTGGTTTACATCTTCACACCACAAATGGATGCAATGACCACGGTTGTGCAAGGACAAAGTCAGGAGCCAGGAACTCCATTTGGGTCTCTCACATGAATGCAGGGGCCCAAGCACATGGGCCATCCCCCACTGCTTTCCCAGGTGCATTAGCAGAGAGCTGAATTGGAAGCAAACCAATCAACACTCTGATATGGGATGTTGAGTCTCAAATAGTGGATTAGCCCACTGCACCATAATGCCAACACCATAAAGCTGTTTTCAAAAGCTGTTGCTTCATTTTACATTCCTATCAGCAATATGTGAACCCTCCTCTTTCTCCAGATACTTGACAATCACTGCAACTGTCTGTCTGTTTGATTATAGCCACCCTCATAGGCAGGTGTGCAGTGGTATCTCATTTCATTTCCCTAATGACTAATAATGTTGAATATCCTTTCATGAACTTATTGGCCATTGGTATGTCTTCTTTGGAGAAGTGTCTATCCAGATCACTCTGCTGTATTTTTATTACTAAGTATCATTCATGCATGCTGGCTACAAGTCCCATATATTTACTGTGATTCTATGAGTTGTTTTTTAACTTTGTTGATGATTTTCTTTTAAGCATATTTCAAATTTTTTTGGTTAAGTCAGATTTACCTATTTTTCCTTTTATCGCTTTTGCTTTCAGTGTCTACCCTAGGCATATATGCCTGTATATGCTTTCTTCTAAGATTTTTCAAGTTTTAGCTGTCAAATTCAAGTACATGATCCACTTTGAGTTCATTATGTATACAAACATGGTATAAAGTAGAGATACGGTTTGTTTTTCATGTGGATATTCAATTGTTCTAGTACCATTTGTTGAAAAAGTTTACTTTTCCCATAGAATCAAGATATTTAAAAATTAAGTTTTCAACAAGAGAAATAGAAATCACTGGGAAATCATCCTAAGGATTAAGCTGGGGTGAGTAGTCAGGTCATGAGAAAGCAGGAGTGGGGCATGGTTAGGTAATCAGTAGGATAATGTGACTGTGCTCAATATGAATAGGAAAGTCCAGGGAGAAAGTTTTAAAAATAAGATGAGCTCTATTCTGAACATTTGAATTTGCATTGTCCAGGTAAAAATGGACAGTACATCTGAGAAGATGCTAAATGGTAATGTAGTACTAGGAATATTCTTCATTAAGATGCTAATTAAATGCTTCCTCCAAAGAAACAAATTTAAAGGTGAAACAATACCAAGAGAAACAATTCCATTGAGACAGCAAGAAGAGGTAGAATGAAAGATTTTTAAAGTATAATTACATGATATATCCCTTTTTTATTTATTTTAATCGAAAACTTTTATTTAATGAATATAAATTTTGAAAGTATAAGTTTTGGATTGTGGTGGTTCTTCCCCCATAACCACGCTCCCACCCTCAAACCATCCCATCTCCTACTCCCTTTCCCATCTCATAATTTATTAAGATTCACTTTTAATTATATTTATATACAGGGGATCAACTATATACTAAGTAAAGATTTCAACAGTTTGCACTCACATAGACACATAAAGTACTGATTGAAGACTAGTTTCACTGTTAATTTTCATAGTACACCATATTAAGAACAGAGGTCTTACATGGGAAGCAAGTGCACGGTGACTGCCATTGTTGATTTAACAATTGACACTCTTATTTTTGACGTCAGTAATCACCCAAGGCTCTTGTCATGAGTTGCCAAGGCTATGAAAGCCTCTTGAGTTCACATACTCTGACTTATTTAGACAAGGCCATAATCAAAGTGGAAGTTCTCTCCTCCCTTCAGAGAAAGGTACCTCCTATTTTGATGGCCCTTTCTTTCCACTGGGATCTCACTCACAGAGATCTTTCATTTAGGGTTTGTTTTTTGTTTTTTTTTCCAGAGTGTCTTGGCTTTCCATGCCTGAAATGCTCTCATGGGCTTTTTAGCCAGATCTGAATGCCTTAAGGGCTGATTCTGAGGGCAGAGTGTTGTTTAGGGCATCTGCCATTCTATGAGTCTATTGTGCATCCTGCTTCCCATATTGGATCGTTCTCTTCTTTTTAATTCTATCAGTTAGTATTAGTCTTATTTATGTGAATCCCTTTGACTCTTAATTGTATCATTAGGATCAGTTATGAACTTAAACTGATCACTTTAACTAGTAAGATGGCATTGGTAACTGCCAACTTAATGGGATTTGGAGTCCCATGGCAAGTTTTTAGCTTTACCCTTATGGTAATTCCAAGTGAGCATGTGCTGAACTGTATATCACCTCCATTTCTATTCCCACTCTTATTTTTAACAGAGATCAATTTTCAGTTAACTTTAAATACCTAAGAATAATTTTGTATTAATTAAAGAGTTCAACCAATAGTATTAAATAGAAAAAGAAAATACTAAAAAGAATAAAATAGTAATCTGTTTCTCAACAGTCAGGACAAGAGCTGATCAAGTCATTGCTTCTCATAGTGTCAGTTTCACTTCTACAGGTTTCCTTTTAGGTGTTCAGTTAATTGTCACCGATCAGGGAGAACATATGATATTTGTCCCTTTGGGACTGGCTTATTTCACTCAGCATATTGTTTCCCAGATTCCTCCATTTTGTTGCAAATGACCAGATTTCATTTTTTTTTACCACTGTGTAGTATTCCATAGAGTACATATTCCATAATTTCTTTATCCAGTCTTCTGTTGAGGACATTTACTTTGATTCCACGTCTTAGCTATTGTATATTGAGCTGCAATAAACACTGAGGTGCAGATAGCTCTTTTATTTGCCAATTTTATTTCCCTTGGGTAAATTCTGAGGAGTGGGATGGCTGGGTTGTGTGGTAGGGCTATATTAGATTTCTGAAGTATCTCGAAATTATCTTCCATAGTGGCTTTACCAGTTTGCATTCCCATTTGCACTGGATTAGTGTGCCTTTTTCCCCATATCCCCACCAGTATCTGTTGTTAGTAGATTTCTGTATATCAGCCATTCTAACTGGGGTGAAGTGAAACCTCACTGTGGCTTTGATTTGCATTTCTTTTATGGCTAGTGAGCCTGAACATTTTTTTCATGTGTCTGTTGGCTGTTTGAATTTCCTCTTTTGAAAAATAACTATTTAGGTCCTTGGCCCATTTCTCTTCATTTCTCTTTTTTTTAATTTATTTATTTATTTATTTGAAAGTCAGAGTTACACAGAGAGAGGAGAGGCAGAGAGAGAGAGAGAGGTCTTCCATCCGATGATTCACTCCCCAGTTGGCCGCAACAGCCATAGTTGCACCCATCTGAAGCCAGGAGCTTCTCCGGGTCTCCCACACAGGTGCAGGGGCCCAAGGACTTGGACCATCTCATACTGATTTCTCAGGCCATAGTCGAGAGCTGGATTGGAAGAGGAGCAGCCAGGGCTAGAACCAGCGCCCATATGGGATGCTGGTGCTTCAGGCCAGGGTGTTAATCCGCTGCACCACTGCGCCAGCCCCTGGCCCATTTCTTAAGTGAGTTGTTTGTTTTGTTGTTGTGGATTTTCTTGATCTCTTTGTAGATTCTGGTTATTAACCCTTTATCATTGAATAATTTGCAGATTTTTTTTCCCATTCTGCCGGTTGCCTCTTCACTTTTCTGTTTCTTTTGCAGTACAGAAACTTCTCAATTTGATGTAATCCCAGTTATTAATTTTGGCTTTGTCAGCCTGTGCCTCTGGGGTCTTATCCAAGAAGTCTTTGCCTGTGCCTGTGTCTTGCAGGGTTACTCCGATGTTCTCTAATAATTTGATGTTTTCAGGTTGTAGGTTTAGATCTTTAATCCATGTTGAGTGGATTTTTGTGTAAGGTGTAAGGTAGGGGTCTTGCTTCATAGTTCTGCTTGTGGAAATCCAGTTTTCCCAGCACCATTTATTGAATAGACTGTCCTTGTTCCAGGAATTGGTTCTAGCTCCTTGATCAAATATATGTTGGTTGTAGATGTTTGGATTGATTTCTGCTATTTCTATTCTGTTCCATTGGTCTATCCATCTGTTTCTGTACCAGTACTATGCTGTTTATCCCTTTATTTTTTAAACATATCTATGGCATCCCTAATGTACTAGAATCTATTGCAAGAACCTGGAGTTGAAGGAAGTAGCAATTAACATAGTCTCTCCCTTCATGGCACTTCATATCCAGAGTAGAGAAACAGATAATTCTTTAGACAACTGGGATACAATAGTAAGTGCAGGATGGAGAAAGTCTAGGCGGAAACAGAGAGCATTTACCCCAGTCCAAATGTCAGGAAAGGTACTGGATGAATTCTCATATGACTTGAAATCTGAATGAGAAAGAAAAACAAGCCAAAGAAAGAGGCAGGGGCCAAGGGATCCATTCCAGGTGGAAAAAAGAAAATATGCAAACAGCAGAAGGTAAGAAATGACTGTCGTTTGAAAAACTACTGAAAGATGTCTGCTCTGGCCAGAACACCCAACTATGGGAAACGCATGGTATGATGGGAGGTAGAAGAGACAGTCAGCCAAGTCATGAAGTGCCTGCTAATCCATTCCTGATCTTTCTGACTTTGCTTCCTCCTCAATGGTAAAATCCAATCCTCCAGCCTTTGTCATTTCACACTCACCTGAAGAAACACCTTCCTTCAACACCACACACACCTAGCCTTGATAGTTCCTTTGCTCAGTCACTGTCTTTACCTACTCCATTTGTGAGCACACTAATGCTGATGAGCAGTATGGGGAGCATGGCTGGTTTTATTAACTTTGTCCACAGCAGGAGCTTACCTGCTGCAGAGTTGTATATAATCACACCCTAGGGCTTCTTTGGATGCACCTGAAATGCTCACCTCACTGTATCCTCCTTCTAGCTAGCTGGCTAGCTGGCTACTTACCTATCAATCTATCATCATCTATGGGCCGAGGACCTCACCTCCCCTGGTACCCTACTGGATAGAGTTTTAAAGGGCTGAGCAGTGTAAGGCAAAAAGCTTGATCTCCTTCCCCTCTCCTTCTCCCTCCCTTGCTCTGCCTTTCAAATAAATAAACCTCTTTTCTTTTTAAGGAGCTTCAGTTTTGAACTAGGCAAAGCTGAATTCTAAAAATAGCTCTGCCATCCATTGGCTATGTGGCTGTGAGTGACAGACTTGATGTCCTTGAGTCACAGTTTCCCCACTTACAAAATTCGATTAATGCTTATCCAAGAAGTGAGCATAGCACATGAGCAAGATATACAATGTGCCTGGAGTGTCACTTGTATTTAATTGACATGTCTTTGCTTGTATTCTGTCCCCTAGTAAGTATAAAGCAGTCTCCCTTCTGTGCCTTGTATTTCCACCTGGACTCTGTTCAACATACCCATCTTGAATCCCTAAACGATCTACCCTTTATATTTCATTCCCCCATTGTATCTAGCCCTTTAACTACATACAGAAGCCTCTCCAGTCTTGAAAATATCTCAGCCTAGTCCTGTGCTTTCTCTCTCTACCTCTCTCTCTCTTTTTTCTCTCTCTCCGTCTGCTGCCCCTTACCTTCCTCAGCTCCCCCAACATCTCATATTGCTCAGATTCTCAAGCGAATTTTCCATACCACTGCCTCTATTTAGAACCTCTCATTCTTTTTTTGCCTAGCATCAGGTACTTCCTCCTGTTCCTCTTCTGTAACGTGTCTCTGGGAAGTCATAAGAACTTGCTTACTACCCAAATTAATGGCTTTTTCCTCTTGGGATTATATATCCAGATACTTAACCCATGTAAGTAAAAAACACTCCAAGTTGAACATGCACTTAATACACCTTAGCTACCAAACATTCCAGCTTGGTCTAGCCTACCTTAGATATTCTCAGAACATTGCATTAGATTACACAAAAGAGCAGCTATTTCTAGCCTGGGAAAATATAAAAATTCAAAGTACAGTACTACATTTGCACCATTGTAAAGTGAAAAGCAGTTAAATCAAAATATCATGAAGACCATCTGTATATGTCATGATATATCTTGACATGAAGACAAATCATCAAGAACAAAATGTTCACTTGGGTTCAATACCTTACTAAGTGGCTGTTCCCTACTCAGAGGATGTACACATGTTTCATGTCCAGTTTAATTAACCGATTCAGAGATTCATGGGCTGCCTATAAGAAAATTGTCCAACCTTTGATAGAATTGCTAGAAAATTCTACAAATGAGAAAAATCAGGATATCAAAACCAAAGAAACACAAATATATAAAGTAATATTAAGTGAAATAAATTTTCCTTGGATGTGTAACTTGGGAAAGAGCATGAAATAGATAGCAAACTTCCACGTGAAAGTTGTAAAATAGAGTTCGAATCAGAAACATCAGATTTTTGCCAGTATAGCCTAGGTTCATTTTTATATAAAAATAATAGAAGTTATTTGTTCTAAAAACCTGCCTCCTGCCTTTACATCACATGTAATCTAGGAAGCAGATGTAAAAATACCTCATTGCCACTTGCAGAGGATGGGATGTAGACTATATGAGGATGGAGGCCCTTCATGTCCCCCATGCTGTAAGCAGAGGGAAAACACATCGCTCTACTATCTGTGCTTTCCGGGAGCAAGAGGAGGCCTGGTAGTGAAGGGGGGCCAGTGAGGAGAAGATGGAGCCAGAGGGAGGCAGAATATGGAAGAGACAGATGGCACTGGGTGGGTTCTGAGCGAGTGAACTGCAGTAAACTGCTCGTGTCACAGCCTGCTGAGCACTTCTTCAGCAGTGGCTTCCGAGTTATCATTGCCCTTCAAAGTTCTCAACAGACAGCAAATGTCAGGTGCAGAGCTTTGGGGCCTTCCTGCTGACACCCATGGGAGAATTAAGTCTGAGCTAAGACACCCTCCAGGATCAAGTTACCAGACTGGGTGGTCAGAAAATACCTTTGAGACTAGCGGACACTCAACAGTTGCCCAGTACTCATTTATTTCCATAACCATTCCTTTACTCTGTCGTCTTCTGCCTTCTTATTTCTCCCTAAAATTTAATGAAGCCTCAGTGTTTCAGCTAAATCAGTGATACTCACAGTGTGGCCCCCAGGCCAGCAGTATCAGCGTGAGTTGGGTACTTTTTAGAAATGCTCACTCTTGGGCTCTATCCTAAACCTACTGGTCCAGAAACCCTGTTCTAAAAAGACATCCAAATATACTGAACTATACTGAACTAATGGATCTCTTCCAGTATTACTTGTCATGCACTTTACCCATGATAAAGGGGCTTGGAATGTGTCTACTTGGGTAAGATGAACCCCACTTCCCAGAATTTCCTTAGCTGCAGGCTTCTGGTTGGGTTGGGCCAGAAGAGATTCTAGCGAAGGGATGGGAGGGCAGATGAGAAGTAGGAAGCATGCTGTAGACCACACAGGTTATCCCTTCCTGCTGACTCACTTCACAGGCATGGAGCGACAGCTGGGCCAGCAACCACTTCACCTTCCCCTGACTCACCTCTCACCTCCTCTGCCTGCTGGGTCAGGTGGGCCTTTTATTCAGGAGCCCCACTTATTCTCAGGACACTCACAGCATCAGTGTTACAAGAGGCAACCACAGGCTTAGTGTGTGCATCTCAACTTGGCTTTGCTCTCTCTGCATTATTTTATAGCCATCTTCTCTTGCCCACTACATGTTCTGCAGACTCCAATCTCCACATGGGAGGCAAAGCCGATCGCCTGAAAGCATGAATGCAAGAGAGGTAGAGGCCTCCTCCTGTGCGCGGAAGGTGAAGGTCAGAGACTTGGGAGTGACTCCTTGGCCCCCACTGCGGAGCTCTGCCTTCACCGAGTCTCCAATTTCTCCTCCACGCTATTGCACGTTCGTGGAAACTCAGCTCATTTCTGAGCTCCAGGAAGCCATCCAGATTAATCCCATTCCAATTCTGTTCTTTCTTTTCTAATTCCGAAAGGCACGTTGCCCTCCTGTGCATTCTGTATGGTAATTGTTCCCAAGCTGTTTCCCATAGCCTTGTTATATCTCCACATCGAGATTATGAGCAACTTTTGGCAGCAATCATGAGCTCTTTCGTTTCCACCCCAGCTTCCAGTAAAGTGAATTCTATTTAATATGTTTTGTAATGAGCCATCTTCTCTCTCTAGGTTTCCCATTCTTCCTGGACATTCTTCTTCACCCTCCATGATTCAGATCTAGGCTGATGGCATTCACGTACTTACATCCCACACTGGTCTCTTCCCTGAGCTCCATGCCACAAATCCAATTATCTACTGGCTGCATCCATATGGATGTCTCTCAAGCACCTCAGTTTGATTCAACAAATCCAAAACAGAACTTATCATTCGGGCAATCTCAATGTCCCTGTGTTTTCTACCTAAGGCAATTGTACCTCCATCCACCCACTTGGTCAAACCCAAGCCAGGCAGTTATCCTAACTGCCTCACTGTTTCTTCCCTCTTCAATCTATCCTTATTATTAAGTCATCCATATTCTTCCTCATTGAATCTATCATACTTTTACTTGTACTAAGTCTAATGGTTAAAACATGGATTGCCGAGCCAAGCTTGGGTGGACTTGAATTCTAGTATCACTGATTCCTACTTACTATGTCTCACTTTCCTCATCTAAAAATGGGAAAATAATAGTACTCTCCATTGATTATTGTATTCATGCAGATTAATGGGCCAGCAACTACTTCACCGTCCCCTGAGTCAGCACTCCCTTCTCTGCCTGCTGGGTCAGGTGGGCCATTTATTCAGGACCCCTGCTTATCCCCAGGACACTCACAGCATCAGTGTTACAAGAGGCAACAAGAACCACAGGCTCAGTGCATCTCAACTTGGTTTTGCTCTCCTTACATTATCTTATAGCCATCTTCTCTTGCCCACTACATGTTCTGCAGACTCCAATCTCCACATCAGATGCAAAGCCAATCGCCTTAAAGCATAGGATGCAAGTGATGTAGAGGTTAGATACAGCCCTGATACATGACAAATAGTGAAAAAAATACTAGCTGCTACAATTACTTCTCTATGACTGTACGGGAGGTCACTATTTCTTTCCTTGATTATTTCAAAGCTTCCTAATTGACTTCCTTGCCATTAAATTTCTTTCTGTATTTGAATTTTAAATGTAGAATTTTATAAAATATCAGAAACATTTTTATAAAATATCATTAATTATTCCTTCAAATACCACATATATTTTAGAAGGGTATTTTAAATACATTAATGTTTCAGATGTGATAAATCTTATTAACAAATTTATATGGTCTGAATGCCAAGAACTAGCATGTCTGGCATGAGCCACCAGTTCTACCTTACGGAATTTGAAGTCCAGGAGGCACCAATGCGTACAGACTTCCAGGAATATCCCTGAGGAGCCCCTTCATGCTGCAAGATAGGTGTGCAGCTCTGCTCCTGAGTTATAAAATAGGGCTGCTTTTCTGGGGAAGCTTGTGGATGCCTGTGACTTTTCTACTTTTCTCTGTCACTCAGATTGGAATGTCCTAGGGTTGCAGCAAGAAGATTTACCATATCCTTGTGAAGAGGTATGCCTTCCAAAGCAATAAATGACTGTGACTGAGACAGACAGACTTAACAGCTGCACAGCAGATGGCCCTCAGTCGTGTTTTAGGTGACTGCTTCGGTTGAATATTATAAAATTGGATGGAGGAAATTCTGCCAATTTCTCCTTGCAATTATAAAAGTGTGGAGTAAGTAAAAAGATTTAGTATTCATTAGAGTAAGCATTCTTAATAAAGTCTTCACTTTCCGTTTTTGAAAATCTGCATGTTTTCTTATAGTATGCGGGCATTTTATTTGTATCTCTAATGAGCTCTGGTTTTTATCAGAGTGATTTATATACATTGTTTGCCTTCCTCACTAGACTGTGAGTAACTTGAAGGCAATTCGGTGTCTGATCCATTTTTTCATATTCCAGCACCTAGAACTCTTTTGCCTACAGTATGTGCTCAGTGAATACTGAATTAATGAACAGCCAGATGAATAAATATGTCATTGAAATTTTCATAATTAAATCATACTTTATAATGAAGTGGAGGAAGTCACTATTTAAAGGTACTCTGTGGAAAATTGTTATGTACAATGCCAAATCTTCTCATTGTTTATCATATATTTCACATATTAAGCTTACTTAATTTAATACAATTCAAAAATTCACAGATTGAGCATCTGTTACCTTCCATTGACTGCTATGGGGCTGAGATACAAAGAAGAATACAACAGAGTCCTCTGGTAAATTTTACTTTCTGCTCTTTTTACAACATAATCTCCTCCCATGGAATGGCAGGGCCCATGTCCCCTCCGCTATGCAATCAATAAGTCCCTCTAAGCTCACACACTGTAATGATCCTCAATGCAACAGGGTAGAGAAATGGGACCTTTTGGAGATTGCATCACTGTTTAGCCCTCTCTTTTGTTCTCTTGCCCTCTGACCTTCTGCCATGGAATGGCACAGCACAGAGGTCCTGCCCAGATTCTGGACCTTGCTTCACAGCTTTCAAAACTATGCGGAAAAAAAATTCTTTACTTTACAAATTCTCCAGACTGTGGATAAAACTGACCAAGACACTGCCCGTGGGAATAGGATCAGGGGTTCGCAAGTACTCTGTCCAACAGAACATGCTGTGTGACATCTAAGGCAAGATCACAGAAAGCATTAACTTTCTGTCTGACTCTCTTTAAGGACACTCCTCTAATGCAGCCACTGATGCTGTGAGGAAGCCCAGAGGAGTCCAAACGGAGAGTGGAGAGAGCGCATTAGCGAGGTCCACATCAAGAGGTACTGAGGCTGCCCGTGAGCGATCAGAATCCACCATCACACGTTTGTGTGGACAAGCGTGCACGTGAGGGTTTCTCAACCTTGGGAGGACTGATGTCTGGGGAAGGTTAATCTGTATGATGTGTGTGGGGGAAGGGGTCCTGTGCACTGAAGGACATTTAGTAGCATCCCTGGCCTTTACCTCCTAGGTGCCAATAAATTCCTGGAATTTATTTTTGGGCACTCCAGCCCAAAATTGTGGCAGACAAAAATGATTCCCTACCTTGCCAATTATCCCCTGGGGAGGAGGCAGAATCATTACCAATTGTGAACCACTGTTTCAGATGATTCCAGCACCCAACATTTGAGCTCTTGTAGCTAATTTCAAATAAAGAGGCAAGCTATACCCACTGAGTCCCACCCAAATTGGAAAGTTGCAAGCAGAACAGATATGGTTATTTTAAGCCACTGAAGTGGTTTGTTGTAAAACATTAGATAGCAAGATGAATCCCTGACCACAAAGAATGGTTTTTCCCCTCTAGGGTAGAAAGCAACTATATAACCAAATAAGCACTGCTCCACTACAGAGACTTAAAATACTTACTATTAAGTTTTACTTGTGACGCATACCTTGAATATATGCATACAGCTGAGAGAGGTTGTGTGTGCACACAGGAAGAGCACTCTAATGCTGAAGTCCAGGGCTGTGGTCATACTGAGCTATCAAAGTGTCTATGTTAACCCAATTTCAGTATATGTAATTATATTGTCTTCCTAATTTGCTCATGCACTTTTCAACTGGAAGTGGTGAACACCCGGTTCTTAAATAAGTCCACATCGTTAAGGTCGCCTCCAGTAACACACAGCTTGTTTTCCTGTAAGCTACATTAGATGACTCAGTCCAGAGCATTTGGAACAATTGTGAGATAATATTCTGATTAGAGCTGTGGCAGGGTCATGTTTGCCTGCACAGCACTTATAATTTATCTTCAGACAGCCAGGAAAAAAGTCAGGATACAAAAATGTGGATATGTACTGGCTTGATACAGAGTATATATGTTAAATTTTTTAATTTATGGTTTTTTAAAATCTAAAATCAAGATATCACAATCTGTATTCCTAGAATGTATTAGTTCACATAGTTACAATGAGTGATGCAAGCTCCTTAAGGATGGAAGCCAGATCTCATTTGGAATAATGACAATGGCAACTAACTCAATGGCATTTGGAACCTGTACAGTGTGCTTTGTACTGTTAATCCTCACAATGGCACAGCAACTGCAGTTCAAAGAGATTAAATGACTTGCCCAAAGAGCTACTGCAATTTGAAACTTATCTCTCTGACTTCAAACCTGTTGTCCATTCACAACTTGTTTCCTTTATCTTTGTGGCCTCTCTAGTCAACACAGTACATAGTACACTGATAGGTATTCAAACAAGTTTGTAGTTATTGATTAAAACTGGCTTTGAATCACAAGTGTAACAGGTCTGTTAGGAAAAGAGACAATATGGAATGGTGTTGTGGTACAGCAGGTTAAGCCACAGCCTGCGATACTAGCATCCCATATGGGTGCCGGTTCCAGTCCTGGTGCTCTACTTCCAATCCAGCTCCCTGATAATGCACCTGGGAAAGCACCAGTGAATGAATCAACTACTTGGGTCCGTGTCACCTACACTGGGGATCCAGTTGCACTCCTAGCTTCGGTCTGGCTCAGCCCCAGCCATTGTGGCCATTTGGGGAGTGAACCAGCAGATGGAAGATCTCTCATTCCCTGTCTCTCTGTAACTCTGCCTTTTAAATAAATAAATAAATAAATATTTATAATAAGGAACAATACAGTATGTTGAGTATCATTATCATGGTCAATCCATGTTTGTTGATTGCCACACAATAGATGTGTTACTAAATAAGTCATTATTCTGGAGTAAGTCAAACAAATTTCTTTGACTCTATGCAGAATAACCAATGGGCCAGCAACCAGTTGTTGAATGGCAAAACCCCTCTTCCCTGTAGATACAGCCTTAAAACAGCCTGCTGTACTAGTAATTAATTTACTCTTTATGAAGACAATGTTGTTTCATGAAGGGGAAATAGAAGTCAGCATAAGCTCTTTCTAATAAAGAAAGCAATAAACTGGCCGGCGCCGCGGCTCACTAGGCTAATCCTCCGCCTAGCGGCGCCGGCACACCGGGTTCTAGTCCCGGTTGGGGCGCCGGATTCTGTCCCGGTTGCCCCTCTTCCAGGCCAGCCCTCTGCTGTGGCCAGGGAGTGCAGTGGAGGATGGCCCAGGTGCTTGGGCCCTGCACCCCATGGGAGACCAGGAAAAGCACCTGGCTCCTGGCTCCTGCCATCGGATCAGCGCGGTGCGCCGGCCGCGGCAGCCATTGGAGGGTGAACCAACGGCAAAGGAAGACCTTTCTCTCTGTCTCTCTCTCTCACTGTCCACTCTGCCTGTCAAAAAAAAAAAAATAACTAAAATATATAAGCAATAAACTGATTGAGAGAGGCAGGCTATATATGAAAAATCAATACATAAGACATGTTGTATGTGTATCTTTGTAAACTCCAAGTAAGTTAAAAACAAAATCTGATTCCTAAAAAATTCCCACTGGAATTGTGATTTTCATTAACACAGTATGACACTACAAAAGGTGGACAAAGGAATGAATGATTTGTAAATAAATAATGAAAATAGTAGCCACAACTAGTCAAAGGCATTGTCAACTCACATTGAAAAATCTAATTGCAAAATGAGCTTGCAAGGAAAATAGGTATACATAGGCCAACTGAACACAATAGCTTTTAATATTTCAAATTGGTTGCTGATAACTGGTTGTTCATTAAACCTTTTTCTCCAATTATTTCCTGCTACATGAGCTGTAATAATTTAGATTCAGACTTAAGAACCATGCTGTGTATATATGTAGGTATGGGGAGGGAGAAAGAGGAAGTAAGAAAGGTAGAAATAAGGGTGGGGGAGGAAGGGGGCGGAGAGAGAGGAGGCATCCTGAAGAAATCCTTCTACAGGTACATTGTCAATTTTTTATAACTTTAGACCCTTTCTAGTAGTTTGTGGGCATGATCACATAGTTTGGAGCTACACAAGCCAGAATCTTTCCCCCTTAGCAGAAAGCAGCAGCCAAATCTCTCCTCTTCCTGAAAGAGAAAAATCTGAAGAGAAAAGCAGGTTGAATAGTTCTCAACAAGAGGTATTACAATGCTCTTAGGGGGTGTTGGGAAATACCTGGGGACCTTGGATTTGCCACCATGACAGGGAGCACCAATGGCGAAGAACGTAGCCAGGGGAGGAAAACACTCTGCAACATACATCACAGATTTCCAAAGCAATTTTCATGCTCAATGACAATATCAGTGAGAAATATTAGCAAATTTCCTTCTGGCATTTCACAGGCCGCTTATTAGCTGCAAGGAGAACTAAACACCAGCCATAATTACATCTAGAGAATACACCAAAACTTGGTTGAAAAAAAAATTTCCTGATCTTCAGAGAAGAAAATTCCTGTGGCAGCTTCCAATAATAACCTTCAAACTCTTCTCAGCACATGAGCAGGACTACTGAGTCCCTAATAGGCTTCAGAAATTACAAAAGAAGCGAACGCTGAGATTGGTTTATCCAAGAACTATCACCTGCATAAGCAGTACGTGGGGTTGAGCATGCAGTAGGTTGACAACAGGATACTAGTGGGTTGCAGGGTGCAAAGGCCACTTGAAGGTGATGACTCCTTCCTCCTACCCTCAGTACTGGGTGAGACTGTGGTTCCTGCACATTTCTGGAAGACAATTAATGCTGTTCACCACGCAGGTGGGCCGAGAATTTCAGCAGATGGCAACAGGATGACAGTAAAAGAGAAAAGAGCTCCGCAGATGGTTTGCTTACTACATTCTGTGTTTTGCTTTGTGGGGGGCGAAGGGAAGAAGGTAGTTGCAAGAAAATGCAATAATGCTGCAAACTTCCAAAGTATCTATTCTCATACATTTTCTCAAGTCACCACATTATTATCTTTTATCAACAGATTGCAGGGGAGAAATAAAGTAAGAAATGGAGGGAGGACTGCAGGAAATATTCCCCAACATGTAGAACTATAAATTCCCTGGCTTCTAGAATAACCCTTCATGGACTTGAAGCCTGTTAATGCAGTAAATTTCCCCTGTATTTTCCTTCTCCAGCTGAAATAGGCTAATTACTAGAACTTTTTCTCATAGGCGATTTCTTTTTCAATACTGTGCAACTATTTTAGTGCTTGTCTTCCTACTATACAAGCTCGGCTCAGCCTGTGATGCTGAGATAATACGAGTTGTTCACAATATTCTGATAATGGCTTGTGAGGTGGCAGCTGCCTTCACTGGTGATCTCCTGTTAAAATGACAACACTGTCTCCCTTGGCAGTCTTATTCAAAAAGAGAGAAGGTAGTTAATGATGATTCTGTAATGTGGACACCTTCTGCAGCAGCCTGGGCATGCGTTTCCCACCATAACGAGCAGTCATGACCATTAATTAGGACTGAGATCTCTGTCTTCCACACCGACCTCTTCAACTCCCATTGCCATTGCAAGGATCACAAGTGGCAAGCTCTCTGCAAAGTGTTGTCTCTTTCAAGTCTAGTCCTGAGATTATTCTCCTGAAGATCATCTGTTCCCTTTTCCTATGCTGACTTTGCATAAGTAGCACTTTCCTGAATTTTGGTATCAGAAAGGGAACTAAATGATATAGGCCTCTGGCTGAAATTGGTGTCCTTTAATTATTACTCAGATAATTCACTCACATACTAATTTGTTTATTCATCAATTTAGTAAATATACACTGAAAGCCCACTGCGGACCAATCTTACAATGGTTACTAGTTATAATGGAAATAGGCAAGTTGCGGTCAGAAAGTTCTAATGGATAAAGAAAAGGAAGTAAAGAATTAGCTGAGGTGATGAATATGTTAATTCATTTTATTAAACCTTCCCACCATGAATAACACAGATCAAAACTTCATATTGCACTCTGTAAATGCAAAATTATCAGTTTGCAAAAATTCAAAATATTATTTATCAATTAAAATAAATTTTAAAATGTCATTTTTAAAGAAATACAATAAGTAAGGGGAACTTATTGTGCTGTTTAATGCATAGGATTCTATGGAATCAGCCAGGATAGTCAGGAACACAAAAATTCTGGAGTAGGCAAACTTCAGAGAGATTCATGATGGATAATTAGGAGTGATTCCATCAAGAATCCAAGATACAAGCAGCATACCATGGGGTATGCCTGCAGTGTCAGCATCCCATGTGGCTGCCCATTTGAATTCAAGCTGTTGGTGCACATGGGAAAGCAGCTGAAGATGGCCGAAGTCCATGGGCCCCTGCACCTATGTGGGAGACCTGGAGAAAGCTCTTGGCTCAGCTTTGGCTGACTCAGCTGTGGCTGTTGAGGCCATTTGGGGAATCAGCCAATAAATGGAAGATCTCTGTCTCTCTATCTGTGTGTGTGTGTGTGTGTGTGTGTGTGTTTGTCTAACTCTGCCTTTCAAATAAATCTTTAAACAAAAAAAGCATGCCATGATGAAAATGGGCCCATGAAAATGTACAAGAATACGACAGAGTACTTCAGAAACACCAACTACGCAGGAAAACTATAGATATAGATGTGAAGTGCAAGGTAGAAAAGTCAAAGAAGTTAGAACTCAACAAGAAGCTAACAAGAATATTTAAGTACAATGTGAATCTAACTCACTCTGTCCTTTGTTTAAGAGACTCAGGTTCAGAAAAACTGTGGTACAATGAATTTCCATTTAGCATGTGAATAATGTGAATTATTTCCTGGTAGACAATTGCCTTTGTTTCTATAAAATGTGCCATCCCCTCAATAAACAAGAGAACAAACCTCGGAGTTCATTTGGCTCCTTGATGAAGACATGGATTGCTTTGGTCACCAACCAACCAGCAACCTTCTTTCTGGCACTCTGATCCCACATTTTCTTTAGAGAACTACTCTGTGATCACTTTCAGTCCACACGTGCTCCATTCCTATTCCAAGAAGTGAAGTCTGTTACTCGACTTAGTACATCTGTCAACTACAATGACTGGTTACAATGACTGGTTCTGAAATGGGCCAAGACCCAAGCTGGTCAAATTAATATGAATTCTGTGGCTCATGATTCCAAGAGCCATCAGGACAATTTCTGCCCCCATTTCTACTAGAAACAATCATGGGAACATTTCAACGTGGTTAGTCATTGGTGCCATATTATGTATTTAGGATTGAGGATCACAAAATGCTCTTATCCATTGACTCATTCTGTTTCTGGACAATCTTTCAATGCACTTGATCACCTAGTCTAAACAATTCTATTACTGGGGAGCTTATAAATCCACAACTGCTTATCAAGTCACTCAGGCCAATTTATAATCTTCCTACATGCTGCCAGTAGCCCTACACATTTATCCCTCTTCTCCAGACAAGCTAGAATATCAATATCATAGCCATGATGAAATCCCTGGGCATAACAGCTAAAAACAGTCATTCTTCCATGAACTTATATGTAGTAATATGTAGTTTTATACCCCTGAAACTATTCTCATTTAATATCTTCTGAATGGAATATACTTTCTACTAGTTCACCTTATCTCCTTGTTGAGCCTTTTTTTTTTTTTTAAAGTAATAGAGATCTTAAGTGTTTACTAGGCTCTGACAGATAACAACAGGATTAAGTAAAACTGGCTCCTGTAAAAAAGTGATCTTACTGACCCACCCTATCTTTTGACTTTCTACCTCTGGTGGGCCCAAGGGAAAAAG